ATTATTTCTGTCTTTCTTTATTCGTTATTTACTTCGTCAATTATTTTGTTTCGAATTAAACCACGTATCCTTAAAACCACTTACAAATTTAATTGTTATCCGATTTTGAGGGTAAACAGTTTGGCGCCCACCGTGGGGCTAAGGATAATAGTGGCTGTTTGATACAAACTTGTATAACACACCCTATTTTACACTTGTTCTTTGGAGTACTTTTGATTTCAGGTTAAAGTTTGAAATGTTGAACTCCCAGTCTGCCCCTCTGATCGTGGATGCTGAATCCGGCCACCATGGCGAGAACAACAACATAGAACCCGGTAACGAGGTGCCCCTCGTCGATCCCAATGGAGTCCCAGTTGCGGACTCGATCGACGCCAGCTCGCACGTGGCCATCAACGCGAACTTGCCTACCGATCCTGAGAATAGTATCCGCAGAGAAATCTGGTCGGCTGCAGAAAATACGCACGGCGCCGAAGATGATGGGATCAACTTACGGGTAATTTTCAAAATGTTACAGGCTCAACAGGCAACGATAGCCCTGCTCCAGAACCAGAACCAGAGCCGCGCGCCGAGCATGATTGAGCCCGAGCCATCCCGGGAAGTCGTCCACAGAAATGAACCTATCCCGGAGAGGTCGAATGAGAACGAGTTGGGGACCAACCCCAAGATCATGAAGATGCTTGAAGAACTAACAAAACGGATAGAATTAGGAGAGAAGAAAATCGAAGCCAATGACAAGAATGTAGAAACCTACAATTCCAGGGTCGATCAAATCCTAGGAGCACCACCGTTATTGAAGGGCCTGGACTCCAAGAAGTTTGTTCGAAAACCTTTTCCTCCAAGTGCCGCTCCGAAGCCGATTCCTAAGAAGTTCCACATGCCCGAGATTACTAAGTACAACGGGACGACCGATCCAAACGAGCACGTGACTTCCTACACATGTGCCATCAAAGGGAACGATTTGGAGGATGATGGGATCGAGTCTGTCCTGCTAAAAAAGTTCGGGGAAACTCTGTCCATGGGAGCCATGATATGGTACCAAAACCTACCTCCTAATTTTATTGACTCGTTTGTTATGCTTGCATATTCCTTCGTAAAAGCACATGCCGAAGTTATCAAGGTCGAGACCAGGAAGTCAGACCTCTTCAAAGTAAAACAGAGGGATAATGAAATGCTCAGAGAGTTTGTGTCCCGATTGCAAATGGAGAGAATGTTACCCCCGATTGCGGACGATTGGGCCGTTCAAGCTTTCATCAAGGGACTCAATGTTCGAAGCTCGGTGTGTTCATAGCAGTTGAAATAAAATCTGATAGAATATTCGGCTGTTACTTGGGCCGATGTGCATAACCGGTATCAATCAAAAATCAAAGTTGAAGATGATCAATTTGGGGCCCTTTCGGGGTCCGTTTATCCCGTCAAAGCCATCGATAGAGCCAAGAGAGACATTGATCGTGAACCGAGATCAAGCAGAGATCGTTATCAACTATAAAATGGGAATCGAAGAGGTAACGGATCCGGGAGAAACCCCATAAGAAGTGAAAAGAGAAATGATCGAGGTCAAAGTAACCGGAGACTCATGAGCAAGAACGATTTCGACAGACCTATCGGGCCTAAGGAAGCATCGAGGTTATCGGAATACAACTTTAACAAAATCAAGGCCATAGAAGACATTATCGTAGTGGACAACGTCAAGGCCGTACAGAGGTTAACCGGACGCATAGCTACTTTGGGTCGATTCATTTTGATATCCTCCAACAAAAGCTATCGATCTTTCTCACTCTTGAAAAAGAAAAATAACTTTGCATGGACTCCGGAGTGCCAACAAGCCTTGGAGGAACTCAAGCGGTACCTCTCAAGCCCGCCTCTGCTTCACACTCCGAAAGTATGCGAACAACTATACCTATACTTGGTATCCGAAGTAGCGGTAAGTGGAGTCTTGGTCCGGGAAGAAAAAGGTACGCAATTTCCAATATATTATGTCAGCAGTACTCTAGGCGAGGCCGAAACTAGGTATCCTCTCCTAGAAAAATTGGCGCTCATTTTGCTAAGCGCCTTTAAAAAGCTAAAATCGTATTTTCAATGCCACCTTATATGTGTTGTGACTACTTACCTGTTGAGAAAAGTAATGCATAAACGTAGCTCTCGGGATGATTGGCCAAATGGGTCGTCAAAATTAGCGGGTATGATATCGAATATCGGCCCCGCACCTCCATCAAGTCTTATATTTTGGTGGACTTTGAGGCCGATTTTACACCGGCCCTTGTACCCGAGGTCGAAAGAGAGTTGTGTTTAAACTTGGGGACTTCATCGGGATCTGGACCCTCTTTACGGATGGCGCCTCGAATGCAAAGGGGTCCGGACTTGGCATTGTATTAAATCCACCAATAGGTAATATAGTTAGACAATCTGTTAGGACTATAAAATTGACCAACAACGAGGACGAGTACTAAGCCATGATTCTAGGTCTCGAACTAGCCAAAATCTTGGGAGCAGAAGTGATCGACTCCCTCCTTGTGGTGAACCAAGATACTTAGATAAACTCCAGGTAACGTTACATCGGTTTAAGGAGTGGACTTTACAACACGTACCTCGAGATCAATACAGTGAGGCCGATGCTCTCGCTAACTTGGGATCATCGGTAGACAACGATGAGTTCAGCTCAGGAGCAGTCGTACAACTCATGAGATCGGCAGTGGAAGAAGGTCATGCCGAGATAAACTCAATGAGCAACTTGGAACTGGAGAAATAAGTATATAGAGTATATGAAGACCGAAAAATTACCTTTGGATCCCAAGGAATCGAGAACTCTGCGCATGAAGGCAGCCCGGTTTAGCTTGTCCGAGGACGGCACCCTATTCTAGAGAATGTTTGGTGGTCCACTCGCAATATGTCTAGGACTAGAAGACAACGAGTATGTTCTGAGAGAAATCCCCAAAGGTACCTGCGGAAATCATTCGAGCGCCGAGTCGTTAGTTCAGAAAATAATCAGAACCGGCTACTATTGGATCGACATGGAGAAGGATGTGGAGGAATTTGTACGAAAATGCGACAGATGCCAGAGGCATGCTCCGATGATTCACCATCCCGGGGAGCTGCTACATTCGGTGTTGTCACCCTGACCGTTCATGAAGTAGGGGACAGACATCGTCGGCCCCCTTCCATGGGCACCCTGTAAGGCTCAATTTATATTTTTTATGACTGACTATTTTTCTAAATGGGTTGAGTCCCATGCATTTGAGAAAGTTAGGGAGATGGAAGTCACTGATTTCATATAGGACCACATAATATGCCGGTTCAGTATGCCGGCCGAGATCGTGTGCGACAATGGGAAGCACTTCATTGGCAGTAAAGTAAGCAAGTTTTTCAAAGACCATAAGATCAAAAGGATCCTCTCAACACCTTATCACCCTAGTGGGAACGAACAAGTGGAGTCCACGAACAAAACCATACTCCAAAACCTCAGGAAGAGATTGACTAACACCAAAGGAAAGCGAAAAGAAATCTTGCCCGAAGTCCTTTGGGCATACCGTACGACCTCAAAGTCCAGTACGGTGGCCACCCCTTCCTTGCTGGTTTATGGTGCCAAAGCTCTAATACCGGTCGAAGTGGGAGAACCGAGTCTCAGGTTCCAATATGCCATCGAAGTGTTAAACAATGAGGCCATGAATACGAGCCTGGAACTGTTAGATGAAAGGTGCGAAGTCGCCCTCGTTCGGCTGGATTCCTAAAAAACAACATAAATAGAGGTATTACATCGAAGAACCAACTTTCGTGATAGAATATAAGGGTCCACCAAACTCTATAGAGAACCAGGTTTTCTATCAGGTTCAACAATACACACGCACAGATCAGTAAGTAAATGACAAGAGGAATTTTACATGGAAAATCTCAGCTCAACGGGATTAAAAATACATGACCTACCCCTTGTAGGATTTAAACTTACACTAACTAAGCAAATTTTAAGATTACAACCTATGAAACCTAAGGAATTAACCTCTAATCCTCACTAACTTGTAATACACAGGTTTAAGGTTTACAAAGAGTTTCCTACAGAATGCTTCTACACAAGCTAGGTAGGAATTACATTTGAAGAACAATTACAAAGTTACAACTCAACTAAGGACATGAGTTGCTTTGTTTTTTTTCTTAAAGCACTTGAAACTTGCTTGCAAGATGGTCACGTGAATAATCTTCTGAAAAGTTCAAGTGAGTGTGTTTTACCTTCCTTGATTGTATATATACATGTGTGACATCACTTACAATGATGTAAGTAAGGTAGGTAAAAAGTCTTCCCTGGAAAGTTGACTGCTGCACTGTTTCTGCACTGTAGCATGCGTAGGCAGCAACATTCCAGCTGTAGAGTTGACTTCGTACAGTCTCCTCAGGAATTGGTAGGGAACTGTTTTGTCAGATTTTCCTTCCACTCTGAAGAGTTGAATCATAACACCCACGCTGAAACCCAACCTGGAACCTTGTGATCTTAAGGTCTTGTAAATGTGTAACAGGTTCCGTATTTGGTTCTGGATAGTAAGTTTGTTAGATCATCAAAACGTAAAGCAAAGTGCTTATAACATATCAATTTCCCTCTTTTTCATTATGACAAACTCATAATTGAAAATCCCACAAAGAACCACATAGAACCAGACTGCGAACCAGAAAGGCCTTAAGTTCCCCCCTCAATCTCTGCATTCCCCCTTAATTAGTACAATTATATTTCCCTCTTTTTTTGGAATCATAAAAAGATCAGTAACAGGCAATTAAGCAAGAAGGAAGTCTAGTTTTAAGTTAACTCATACCACTTACATGCACACTATCATGATTAAGAATAGAGCATATAAGCAAGGTATAAACAACAACAACGGTAAAGCTTGCATTAACATAATTTTGGATTTTACAGCAGGAGCAGAGTCAATGTTACTACCACATCCACAAATTAGAACAACCAACAAAAAATACCACAAGTTATCACCATAAGAATTGACACTGAAAGACGGGACTAGAAACTAAATTGAGGGGACAGAATTTAAGTAGCACTGGTTTTGAGCATTTATTAACTGAGATATGGTAGAAGTGCTTGCAACCCCTCCAAATTTCGCTATACACTCACATTCTTCAAGAGTGCCTTTCGAAAAAGTTTCCTTCTTGGTGCCCACTTTAACTGGTCCGAGAGGAACCTTGAAGTGCTCAAAGACCTTGGTAAGAAGGAACCCATACGGCAGCCCATGATTACCATCTTTAAAGTCTGCAACTTTATTCATGTGCTCTATTATGATCCCAGGCAGATTAATGGTAGTGAAGTTGTCCAATTCTTCCATGAGGAATAGGTCTGCATGAGAGGTGATGGATATTCGCTCAGCTCGAGGCAGCAACACTTTGTTTACCATCTCAAATAGCAGTTGGTAAACAGGAGAGAGGGCCTTCTTCTGAACCCGTTCCCCCTGCTGAACTGCTATGTCCTTCAAGATTGCGTTCCTGAAGTTCTGAGTACAAGCTCCCCGAACACTAGACAACCCTTCAGTAGGCACACCAAGAACAGATCCCAACAAGACGGAGTCCATTACCATATCAACCCCATTCACCAAGGCACAAATGTGACCATCCTCAACCTTGTACAAGTCAGCATAAAAACTTTGAACTTCCTCCTTATACATCCTAGCAGCATCCCTTGTGAACAAGTGTGTCCATTGTTGGAAATCACAGACCTCAACCAACTGTCTCATACCAGCCTCCTCCAAGACATCAGAGGCAAATGTGCGTCCCCATAGTACCTTTTGACTTCTCAATCTCTCTTTCCCAACACTCCCTGGATTACCAACTCTGGCCTTCTTTGAGGAATCAGGTTCCTCATCAGTATCAACCTTTCTCTTAGTAGTCTTTCGAACACCCTTCTCCTTTTTATTAGACTTTACAGATTTTTCACCTGATTATTTCTCCACATTCTCAGTAGCAACAGCATCATCAGACCTAGTCAGACGTTTAGCAGACACAGAAGATCCCCCTTTTGGCTTGAGAATACCATGCTTTTGTGATAACTTCTCAGTAGCAACAGCATCATCAGACCTAGTCAGACGTTCGGCAGACACAGAAGATCCCCCTTTTGGCTTGAGAATACCATGCTTTTGTGATAACTTCCTAGTCAACGTACTAGGTTCCTCTGCTTCTTCTTCATCCACATTCTCAACAAGCGCTATCTTCTCATTTACAACTTTGCCATCTTTCACTAATTTTCTTCTCCTTGACTTAGCTTGACTTTTTTTAAGAGAAGACTCAAGAGCCTCCTTCTTTTGCAAACTTGTTGTGGGTCGCTTAGGAATTGGATCTTCACTTACAACTACTTTACGCCTAGGCAAACTGGCAATTGGTAAATCATCTGAATTTCTTCACTTTCCTCCTTTTGTTCATCAGACGCAGGGCTTGTCTCAAGCATAATCACAGTTAAAGGCTCAACATCTAAATAAGGAGAGGGAGCAGGGTCAGCACTAACCTGGGGTTCCTGAGAAGGACCCGGAGTTGGATCCTCCGAAGGAGGATCAGGTCCTCTAGCAGGTTCCCCAGTAGTACCTTCCTATGCTAAAGGTTCAATAGGCATAAGCTCATTATCCTCTCAAACAGGCTCAAATTCTTCCCCTTGAGTCTTTATACCATCCTCACTTCCTCCGACAAATTCCCCTTCATTGGTGATGGACAACATATTTTCTATGGCTTCCTTTTCTTGTAGATTCATGAGAAACTCAGGAGAAGTAGGAGCGGTACCTGCGGGCAGGGGTTCAGGAGCAGTCTTTGTTGAGTAAACAATTTTCTCTTAGTCTGGTCTGCCCTTGGCCCTTCTTCTATAGGAGAACTTGAGATTTTCTAATTTTCTTCATTCTCAACAATACTAGTTTCATACCTCTTTTCTGGCGAGGTAAGAGAAGAGCTCTGGGCAACACCTCTTGTGAGAGTTGATGCTTTGTAACTCTTTTGAGAACTGGAACTCGAATGGGTAGGAGAGGAGATGGAGTGTGGGGGTGACTCTGTTCTAGGGTTTTGGTTATCTGTAGTGTGAGGAGGAGAGTCTGGCGTTGGTGTTTCAACCGATGAGGACTCAGTGAGACTAGAAATTATTTGATTTCAGCCATGGTGAGAAGAAGAGAGAAGATTTGGTGAAATGAAGAGAGAAAGAATAGGAAACATGTTTGGAAGTGTGGATGTGTGGAGTCTCTGAAGACACCCATCAACAGCAAGGTTAGGGCCTTAGTTCAGGAGTGTGGAACTAAGGATGATGAAATTGCTAGGCTCAAGGCACGCGTGGCTGAATTGGAGAATGAGAGAGATGGCCTTAGAACTGAGCTAGCAAAAGAAAAGGAGAAGAGTGATGGAATGCTTCAGAATATGGTAAACCTTCTCCAATCTCAACCCTCTAGTTCTTCCAAGCCCTAGGCCTTCCAGCACTTGTCTTTAGATCCAGTCTAGTACCCCTAGTGACCCGATTTAGGGATATTTCAGTTTTTGCTCATGTTTTGGATGTTTTTTCTTTCTTTTTGTGGTTTGTTTGTGGAAACATATCTTTATCAATGACAACTGTTGTTTCTCTTGTTATATGAAGATTCTGATCTTAATAGTTTAATTATGTCTGTTGATTATTGATATATTTACTCATGTTTTCACTTGCAGTTGCCTCAGTGGCCATGAGTAATTATTAAAATCTAGGATTCACACTGTGTATGCAACTTTTCGATGATGCCAAAAGGGGGAAGAGATATTGAGATATTGTGCTTTACTCTTTATTCTGAATAATGTGATATTTATAACCTAATTAAACCTGGTCCTTGATGATAAGTTAAGATTCTAGGTTAAGTGTTGATGGTTAAGCTGAGTTCTTACAGGTTCTTTGATCAGTAAAAGCACAGAGTTTGTCATCATCAAAAAGGGGGAATTTGTTGGCCCAAGTTGAGGTGAAGTTTTGAAGAATGACAAATGAACTCAGTAATGGACCGGGTCCATCATGTGAGGCACAGTGTTTATCAACCTATACATGTGAGATACACGTGAAGGAGATAAGTCTCAGTGATCAAGCAGCAATATCTCCTAAACTGATCGAAAAGGTTGCATATTGGATAAGGAGAGAAAGTCTCCTTATGAGAAGAGGACATAATCCGGATAAAGGATAGGGTTGGAGTTTGTGGTGTTCAAGGACTCAACTTCAATGGAAGATCAGCAATTGAGTCTCAATCAAACTCTAATTACTAACTCATTAAATAACAGTGATTGTTCTCTTTTACAGGTATTGCACAAACGCAGAAGTTAAACTAAATTGAGAGCAAAAGAGCGAGGCAATTTTGCAAGCAATTTATGTGAGATTCAAGTGTGCATTCCTGAAGCTACTTGGACAAGATAGAAGAACCAATTCCATTGTGTCCTTCTTTTATTCTAGTTCAATTGTAGTCGGTGATTTAAAGTTGTACCTTTCAGCTTTCATAGAAGCATTTGTACTAGGTACTTTGAGTGTTCAAGTTATAGGCTAACTTGAAGTTGTCGCAACAGTTGAGGCTGTGTGCCATAACGGGATTAGAGTTTAATCTTTAGGTTTACAAGAGTTTTGTAATTGTTGTTTTGGCTCAGTCATTTTAGTGGAAGTTTGGGAAAATCCTACTGAGTAGTAGGTCGTGGATTTTTCACCTTTTGAGCCAGGTGTTTTCCCGTAAAAATCTCTGTGTTCTTTATTTTCTGCATTTATTATTCCACAAACAACAGTAGTTAGTATACCTAGAAGAACCAGGTTCTTCTAGAGCGAAAATTGGGTACCACACAAATCACCCCCCCCCCTTGTGTGGTGTTGACGCTTAAAACACCAGAAGTGCACGATTAGCCACTAATAACACATGTATTTACTTTTAAGCCACTGTTTAAAATATCTTTAGCCTTTAGCCACCGCTTTAATAAACTTTACCTGCCCATACGAAAATACCCTTCTGCTCATAAAAGTTCAGGACCAAGTGTCCTTAACTTTTGAATTTGCAACTCTAAGTTCAGGACTTTAGGACTTCAGGACTATATGTCCTTAACTTTTGAACTTTGAACTCGAAGTTCAGGACCACATGTCCTTAAGTTATGTACTGTAACTCTAAGTTAATGACTACTTGTCCTTAACTTTTGAACTTGTAAGTCTAAGTTCAAGACCTATTATCCTTAACTTTTTAGCTTGTTAGTCTAAGTTCAGGACCAAGTGTCCTTAACTTTTGAACTTGTAACTGTAAGTTCAAGACCAAGTGTCCTTAACTTTTGAGCTTGTTAGTCTAAGTTCAGGACCTATTGCCCTTAACTTTTGAGCTTGTTAGTCTAAGTTCAGGACCTATTGTCCTTAACTTTTGGGCTTCTTAGCCTAAGTTCAGGACCTATTGTCCTTAACTTTTGAACTTGTAACCATAAGTTCAGGGTCTATTGTCCTTAACTTTTGAGCTTGTTAGTCTAAGTTCAGGACCAAGTGTCCTTAACTTTTGAACTTGTAATTCTAAGTTAAGGACCAAGTGTCCTTAACTTTTGAACTTGGAACTCGAAGTTCAGGATCCATAACGTAGCAGAAAATCAAACGTTATTACGGATTTGTTGCACATTGATATCACCATTCTTTTGAAGATCATGAGTAAAAAATAACTTTGGTGAAATGTGCTTTGTCCTAACTCCTTTTATGAATCCTCCTTTCAATTGGGCTATGCATGCTGCATTGTCTTCATACAAAATCGTAGGCAGTTTATCACACTTCAAACCATATTTGTCTCGGATAAGATGTATTATAGACCTCAACCACACACATTATTGACTTGCTTCATGAATAGCAATTATCTCAGCATGATTAGATGAAGTACCACAATTGATTGCTTAGTCGATCGCCAAGATATGGCAGTGCCTCCACAGGTAAACACATAACCTATTTGAGATCGAGCCTTGTGTGGGTCAGATAAATACCCAGCATCGGCATAACCAACAAGATTGGGACTGCAATTATTGCCATAAAATAAGCCCATATCGGTAGTTCCTTTTAGATACCCCAATATATGTTTGATTCCATTCCAATGTCTCCTTGTAGGAGCAGAACTATATCTTGCTAAGACATTAACTGAAAGGTTATGTCAGGCCTTGTAGTATTAGCAAGATATATTAGTGCACCAATTGCACTAAGATATGGTACTTCAGGACCAAATAGCTCTTCATTCTCTTCTTGAGGTCGGAATGGATCCTTATTCACATCAAGTGATCGAACAACCATCGGAGTACTTAATGGATGTGCTCCATCCATGTAAAACCGTTTGAATACCTTTTCTATGTAGGTAGATTGATGAACGAAAATTCCATTTGCCAAATGTTCAATTTGCAAGCCGAGACATAATTTTGTCTTTTCGATATCTTTCTTCTCGAATTCCTTCTTTAAATAATCAATTTCTTTTTGGAGTTCTATAGGAGTCCCAATAAGGTTTATGTCATCAACATATACGGCAAGTACAACCAATTCCGATGTTGTTTTCTTTATAAAAACACATGGGCAAATGGCATCATTTATATAGCCTTCCTTTTAATAAATACTCACTAAGACGATTATACCACATTCGTCCTGATTGCTTTAGACCATACAAAGATCTTTGCAATTTGATTGAAAACATTTCCCGGGACTTTGAATTATGTGTATTAGGCATTTTAAATCCCTCGGGAATTTTCATGTATATCTCATTATCAAGTGAGCCATAAAGGTAGGCGGTAACCATATCCATTAAATGCATGTCAAGCTTTTCATGAACAGCAAAACTAATGAGATAACGGAACGTTATAGCATCTATAACGGGTGAATATGTCTCTTCATAATCGACACCAGGCCTTTGTGAAAATCCTTGTGCAACAAGGCGTTCCTTATATCTTTGTACCTCATTTTTCTCATTCCTTTTGCGTACAAAGACCCATTTATAGCCAATAGGCTTAACACCATTAGGTGTTTGGACTACAGGCTCAAAAACTTCACATTTTGCAAGTGAATTTAACTCTGATTGGATTGCTTCTTGCCATTTTGGCCAATCACGTCTTTGTCGACATTCTCCAATAGATTGAGGTTTAAGATCCTCCTATCTTGCATAATGTTAGATGCAACATTATATGCAAAGACATAATCCACCACTATATCCAATCGATTCAAATTTGTCTCAATATCGATTGGATTTATTGATAGTTCCTTATTTTCTTGAGTCTCAGGCTCAGTGATTTCCTCATGAATCTCAGGATTGGTTAAATCGTGGATTTCTTCATGAGACTCTTTTGTAGTGTCATCTTGATCATTTGTTTTCCTTTTTCTAGGATTTCGATCCTTAGAACCTAATGGTCTGCCACGTTTTAGGCATGCTTTTGACTCATTAGCTATGACACTAGAAGATTGTCCAATAGGGACATCAATACGGATTGGAACATTCTCTGCAGGGAAATGTGATTTTGTTATCCTTTTCAGATCGTAAATGCATCTGGCATTTGATTTGCTATTTTTCTTTTTGCAAATGAATAATCTTTTGCACTTCTTTTTCACAAATAGAGGCATGTGGATCAAGATGAGAAATTTCCAGTTTGGTTTCACCATTTTCTCCCCCTAATTTTGGGAAAAGTGTCTTATCGAATTGACAGTCTGCAAATCGTGCAGTGAACAAATCCCCCGTTAATGTTTCGAGGTAGCAAATAATGGAGGTCGATTCAAACCCAACTATATTCATAACCTTCTTTGGGGGGCCCATTTTGGTGCG